ATTTAATGTGATGCAATGCACTTGATATGTATTTGAGGTGTAAAGTAAGGGTAAGCGGTGCATGATTACCTTCAACAGATTATTCCAAAACAATATGCTGCTGCTTCTGACATTTTCTGACTAATTCATTTTAGCTCAAGGCCAGTGATTGCCAGTTCACCCGTATCTTTCAGTGACTCATGGGAACACTTAAAAACACAACTTATTTAATGTTTTACAGTATGCTACAAGTCCAAAGGCAAATGTGAGTCGCTAAGCCTAACTATATTCCACAACCTTTAAAAGTATTTTTAACTGACAGCACAGTGAACTTTATTAATAGATATTAATCAGTAACCCGTGAGTAATGAGCCTACTTGCTCATTCATTAGAAGACTATATTATTTCAAGACTGAGATGTGTTTGCAGTGAACACACATTAAATAGGTCCACTCCTCCTCTCGGTAAACAGACGGAACGGAATCAAGTGGGTTTATGTAATATCAAGGTGTAAAATAAATGTTTATTCTCTGTGACTCAGCTATGCCATTTATCCCCTCCTCTCCCAAACATCAAAACAATGGAACACACCCACCCAAAGGCCCGCATGTAATGAAATCAAAAGAATAATTTCTGAAACCTCTGCGTTATCTATTCATGGTACACAAACGTATGACACATAGAGACTGTGCCTGGTGATTCCAGTATCTGTCATCAAACGCCCGCTATTGTGTTTGAATTGGGAATTGTATTAAACTGACTAATTGGTACACATGTAAGGTCCACACCTGGGTCATTGAGTTACACAAACCTGGCCAAAAATGTGTGGTGGGCCCACGCCAATACAGAATAGTCATAAATGTATTTTTCTCAAAAAAGTAACAGTTACGCCTTTGTTGAACTCTTTAAAGTGTTTATTAAGTATGCTTTAAAGTGGTCAATGATTGGATAATGAAGTAGCCTGAGCTTTTCCAAAGTGTAGTGGTTTACACATTGCCTAACAGGAAAAGTAGCTCTTCTTTCCCTCAATCTGCTCATGTTCACAGCCTCAAGTGTTTAAACAATTATTCATGTGCAAGTAGACCTCAGAGAGCTTTTCTCTTAAAAAGCAGCATTTTGGGATCCACTTAGAAATGGAATAAACGAAGAGAGAAATACTCCCCGGATATTTATTCCTACAGTTGTGAAGGGCAGAAGGACTTCCACTGATGAGGGCAGGCTGGCCTCTTCATTTCACTCCAACCAGAGTCATTACTTAGCAGCTCTTGCTCAAACCAAAGTCTCAGGTGATGTTCACAGTGACTGTGAGCTGCTGCTAAAGTGTTCAGCACCTTTAAAGTAAACTGGAAATTTGCATCCTGATTTTTTTTTTAAATGGCAATTTCCACAAAAGCTTTCATTTTTTCTAGTTTGGAAATCTGATTTTTGCTTGTTTCATTCATTTTGGTTACACTCTACCAGTCACGGCTGAGTTTGGGAGAAACTATTCAGCTCGGGAGTGCAGGGGAGAAAGAGGCAGATGAAATACAAACAACTGTACCCATGATATAATTTTCTTATGATAAAGAAATATATCTATGTTTTAAAAAAAAATGATTTCAAGATCTCAAGTTTAAGAGAATTTGCTTATTGAGTGGGCCCAAACTGTGCATGGACCCATGCCCACTGAATAATCCTACCCAGGTAAATTCATGTTTTCCATGACTACAGCCACAGGGGCTGTTAAGAAAAGACGAGGCAAAGGTGGAATCTATTATTGTTATTGTCAGTACAATTACAAATTTTACTTTGATCTTAAGGGCATTTTGGTTGAAAACCCATTTGGTGATCCTTGTGTGCATGTTTGATTAAATCCACGGCTTCTATTAAATGCCTTGCTGTGGCATGAGCGTATGGGTCATTTGGCTGGATGAGCTAATAAAGAACTAAATACATAGATTTGCTTTAAAACAGCTGGAATATTGTTGTTGCTAGTCTAGACTAAGTTCACTCCATGTAATATTGGCTGGGTTTATTTCTAACAGTTCTATAAGTTAATCGCATTTTGTGTGAAAACGTGACATAGTCTAAAACTATGAATGGCAAAATGTAAAAACTTTTGTTTAAAGGGCATAAAGCAGCAAATTCTTACAAGGTAAATAGCTCATAATGCCCTTCATGTCTTCTTATACTTTTGTCCTCTTGACAAAGAGTTATTACAAGAGCAGTGACTAATCCTCTAAACATGGACAGTCTCACACAATGCTGCCACGATGACTTTGTGCCAAGAGGACTTTGGAAGCCAGAGATAACGAAATATCATGGAAATGACTTGATAATGAGCTTGTGATACATGTGTATGCAGCACAACTTCGAAAAAGTCAGATTACATATCAGAATGACTGATAAAATGTAAAATGAAACTTGCCTGGCCGGCTTTGACGCTTTCACATAACATAGAGAGAAACATCTTTGATGGTTTACTTTTTATTCTGAGGTAGCAAAGCAAACTGTGTTTTACAAATCTAATTATAGTGTTGATCTTTGATCTTGTAGGAGGTTTTCTCCTCAGTTCAATACCATAGCCTTTGGTGATACGCCAGAACAGCTTGGCAACATGGCAAAACAAGGAAAGTTGCCAAAGCAATGCAAGGTTTTATTTGTGGAGTGCCTTCCGTACACCAAGGCAGAATGAGCATACTGCAAAAAAAGAATTAATTAACACACATGATGCGTTCATTCAAATATATGTTTATAAAGCCTAAAACCTGTAAGGACAAGAAATGGTAAAGAGGCCAAAATTAAAAATAAATAAGATTTATAATGATAATAAAAACTAGAATAAAGTATAAAGGTGAAATAATTATACTTAAAAAAATAACATATAGAAGAGTGAAAGAAAGATTTATAATAAAGAAAGTTTGATCACTAAATTTAAAACAAGAAAAGCACTTTAAAGAACAAAAACAACACATAGATTAAAATAATAAGTAATATTAATGGCTATATATCACCATCCAGATTGAAAAATATTACTGAAAAGCACTTGAGAACTTTTTTAATGTTATGATTTAATAACGTACAGATGATTGAGACATTCCAAAGAACATCAGGTAGTTTCTTCCAGCGTTGTGCAGCACAGTGAGAAGTTGAACTTATTAATAATTTTGAGCAATTTAGTTCCCGTGGCTCCACCATAATAATGTACCCGCAATGTCACTGGGCTGCGTCCAGTCAGAATGAGGTGATAAATTATTTAAAGGAGACTGGAAGGTCACTAAAGCATGATCTCAGCTCATCTACACTCATCTACACCCACAGGAAGGTCCACCAGGGCAGTCGTGCTGCTTAATTCAAGAAAAGATCTTCCAAACCCAGAAGTTCTTTGGCATTTATGAGGCATGTCGGGTTAAGAAGATGAACGCAGTAGAATAGATGAGCAGTACAGAGGGTAACGTTCACAGATTTTTAAAATTGTATTTCATAGATTTAAACATGCAAAGAATAATGAGGGTAATGTGGGAAAGAAAATGGCCTTTTAAATGAATGGAAAAGTCCAAGCATTCCTATAAGACAGGTAAATTCTTAAAACAGCAGCTAACCGTGACACTTTACCAGTTAATCCCTTTAATTTGACCAAGTTTTGTATGAACTACAGACTAATTTGCATGCGCATGTAGAACAATGAACACCTGTATTTGAGCATGTATCTGAGTATTTTTCTTTCCACTGTTCTCTCATCAGTGAATGACTTTTATGTCATAATTCAGCTCACAAACTCACAACTTTCTACTTTTTATAAACGTGCTTTTATTGCCCTTGAATTCAGCTTCCAGTACTTATTCATGAATAGTAACAAGAAAAATAATATGTGAGTGAGATATTTGGTGCAATAAAATAGATTGCTGGAGGAATGTCGTAGATATTTTTACCTGTGGCCTAAGGGACATTTTGGCCTTAAAATTTCTGATGTCTGGACTTACATCTGTGTAGTACGTGCTCTGTTTGATGTATTCCTGAGTGTTTAAAGGCTCATTAAGGGCTCAGCATACCTTAATAACTCAGTGTTGAGGTTTGTTAGTGCCAAATATTTGCTTTTGTAAACTGAATGACTTTTATCCTATGTAAATAGTGAACAAATAGCACCAAGGTTGTCGCTGTGTACCTGTATTGACAATAACTGTGAGATTTGACAGCTGGGATTCAGACCCAGGCTACACCTCCCTTCACTTGTATCTTCAGTGCCATAAGATGATAAAGGACAATTACAGTAATATCATTAAAGTCAAACCTGGACACAATAATCACAAAATGACACTCTGATATTACAACAGTCCATTCAAAACACAACATAGTGTTGAAATTAGAAGTCTGTTGGTTTGCAAGCACTGTTGTCTGGGTAGACTTATTGTTTCAGTCCACCTCTGACTCAGATCACTGGTCTATGCACACTACATTTTTTAGTTAGCAATTTACTAGGAACCCCTTGGGTATGTAATCAAATACTATAAACCTGTAGCAAATTATCACTGAGAGGTGCTAATTTATATCACTTGCATATTTTCAATCAAGGATTCAATTAAAAAAGATGAAAAGGAAATTAAAATCAATCACATAAAAACAGAAAACTTGAGCACATTAAAACCAAGGAGGTACAACTTGTACAAAATATGAAATCTAAATTCAGAATAGCAGTTTGCACTCTTCGGTTACATAATATTTTATCAGTACTTTGAACTTGTCAAGGGTCGAGAGAATGATTAAGCTCCAGTGTTCTGAAGGGTATTGGATGACCATGGTAGAACTGGAAAATTCTGTTCTCAGCAAAAAAATCCCAGTAAATCCTGAGTTCCCAGTAGAGTGGCCATGTAGATTAGCTCAAGATTGGTCATTGCAAATATATTGCTGAAGTAATTATTTTATAATGCAATCAAATATCACTGGTCTCTAACTGCAATCTTCAAAATGGCCAAAGAGTTCAATAAAAAAACCCAACAGCATTCTGACAGAGTCAATAAAAAGTCAGGAGACAGAGCTAGGCAAAGATAGGGTTTATTACATGGCTGTTGTATCAGATTGCATAAGGTGTTTACATGTGTAATAAACTAAATTATTTCCTCTATGTAGATATTGTTAAGCACATAAGACTCTTGATGACACATTGTTTTTTCAAAACATAAGAAATCCACAGATGAAGGAGTTCCTGATTGTTTGAAAATCTCCTAAATTCTTCTTTTCTCCTACATATTATTTTTATTTTTATTGTCTTTTTACATTCATTAGTCTTAAGGGTTTTCAGCACCTGAAGCAGGCCATGAGCTTATCTACTTATAGGTGCCCCACGTTCTCCATTCACATCGCTTCTTTGCTGAAGGACTCTTCAGGGTTTTTTTTAGTCCACCACAAATCATGTTCCTTGCTCCCAATACTCCCGACCCCTTTTCTAGCCTCAATCCCTGACCTCTTTCTCACTCCACGTTCCCTCCTTCTTCCTCTTCATCGTTGTTCCTTATTCCCATCTGCAGGTCTCTGTAAAAAGACCTTTCTCAGTCCAAGTCCTTGTTGTTGTGTCCATTGATCAGACCTGATTCCCAGCGCAGCACTAGAGGAGACTTCTGTCTAGGGGTACGAGGACTCTGGGGGAGCTGAATGAAAAGGAGAACAAAAAGTGAACAGGAGTAAGTGGTGATTGCATGGTAAAAGAAGAAGCAGGCAGTAAGTTGGAAGAGTAGGAGCAGAAAAAGAAAGAGAATTCAAAAGTATGTTGGAGTGGGAGACCAAACCAAAAAGCCAACACGGAGGGAGCGAAAAGAAAAGAAAGGGATGAATTTGCTTCCTCTTGAGGACATATCTTTGGATGAGCATCATTAGCTCTGTAAGTCAAAGGGAGGTTAATGCGACTGTGATCCAAGGCCATGTTCTGTATGACTAAGTCAACAAGTGAGGCCAGTTTGCCCTGCAATCCTTCATGTATCTCTGAACTTTAATCAGGAACTAGGTCTGTGCACAGATAATCAACCAGCAGAGAGAGAAAGAGAGGGAGGGGCTATGAGGAAGTGAGAGGAAAGAGGGCAAAATGCTGCTAATGTCAGACTGAACCATGCAGCTAAACCCCAGCACATCAATGCCAAACTGAATTAAACAGCTCAAGCCACGAAGCAGCACTCCGCTTTAATCAGAGATACCAGAGTATCAAAGAGATGCAAGACCCACAAGGAAGGTAACACAAATCAGTGGGATTGTCAATTGACTTTCCTCTTTGCCTGCTATTGACTGCTCAAGTGTGCGCACATACACAGACTCTACAGACACGTTCCTTCCCTCTCTCTCTTGCTCTCTCTCAGTCTCAGGGCTGTTTGCCTTCATCCCTTATCTATAAAGATAAGAGCCTCACTGTGTGTTCAGCATGTTATCAGATATTTGCGTCCCATATTTGGTGCAAAAGAGATGCTGACATCCTCCCACAAGACTTTCTCCATTTGACACATTACAGTCCAGAGCAGTTTTAAACAGACAGATGCGTGACAATTAAAGGAAAATGGGGAAAAGGGGAAGCTGTTAAGCTGTGGGAGGAATTTTGCTGGATTTATTTGACTCCACTCAGCCTCTCTGATGGAAATGATCACAGCTAACCAATAAAAAGTTGTTTTAAGATATCTTAATTTATTTCCTGATTGGACGTGGTGTAGCTGAGACCTTTAGGACATTTTATGACTTTAATTCTTGTGCAATAAATTCCAAAACCCATTGACTCTGGTCTCGTGGCACTTGGTTGACCAGCATCGTACAAGAACACTCTATGTTGGATCTTCCTTTAATTCACCTGCCTGAAAGCTCATCTTAATGCGACATTGCAAGTCAAATGTAGAGCTAACAAAGCATCATTATTTTGGAACCTGATATCTTCTTGTCTGCATTCCAGGGAGACTCAGGATGGCGATTTGCCTACATTTTCATGTCCTATGCCAAGTGTACTAGACGGGTGAGGTTGGCACGTTAAAATTCAGAGTCGAAAGTACTTAATAAAACTCACTGCGAAGTTTTATTAAGTGCCACATGGTAAAATTTACACAAACTCTAAAAATCAATAGTGTGACGGATGAGCTGTAACACTGACACACCTCTGGCCGGTTAATCTTCTCGTCTTCAGCCTGGACCGGGGGCCACACAAATGACTTGCTGACTGACAGGCGCGCTGGAAGAGAAGAGAAAAGCAGATGAAGAAAGAACAGCAGTGAGGGAGAAGTGCCCCTGTGATGTTGTTTGAGCACCACAGTGTGAACACTGAATCAAATTAAGATTGAACATCGTGAGGCAGCAGAGAGAAATGAGAAGAGACAGAGGATTGCAGAGGGAACAGACGGAAAGAAATCTGTTCATGAACGTGGAGAAACAGAAACTAAAAGCAGGCAGCGGTAATTAAGAAACAGAAGGGCAATAAAGCCTGATGTGTAAAGCAATATGCAGCTGCACTTTGCACGACCTTCAGTTACTGTCCGGCGTGCTTTGTGGACACACCCTGGTCAGTTTATGTCACTCATTGTTAAACCAACAATGTTTTAAGTCATTCATTCTGACGTAATCACAAATCAGCCTTCATGGCAACACAACACAGACAAAAAAACACACTGAAACATACTGTAGAGCAACGCCTCCCAGTCTTTTTTTCTGATGTATCACAGCCAAGCACTCTTTCAAAATGCCCTTCAAAATCATGTATCAAATGTTTGTAATTTGAATTATTAAGCACTGTTTTTATAAATCTCTACTTGTGTTATTCATATTTTTATTCTTGGACTCTACTGGAGTAGCTTTGCGTCATTCACAGTTCAAAATAATCCTTATTCTCTATCTTAATCTTTGCCCCAACAGAAGGTTTGAGCCTTCTGTTAGCAGGGCGATGCTCACTGCCAGGGCTGGTTTTGAAATGACCATATAACAGTATCCTGTTTTTAACATCATGCAGAGCTGGAGAAGGAAAAACAGAAGTTTGAAATCAAGCGTTCAGAGGAGCCTGAAATTTTGGCTCAGGTGGAAAAGCTTTAAGCTAACCTTAGCTTTCATCTTAGCTAAAGCTATAAGCTAACGTTACTAACTCAAACTATGTTTAATATGAATATCCACCAATCTAATAGTATAGATGTACGTTACAGACATATATATAGCTCAAAACTAAACTCTCTCCTGAAACCCATATCTTTAAAAATAATATAAAAATATAAATATCTATAAATATATAAATATATGTTTCATCTTTATTGTAACTGTATTGATTTCAGCTATTTATCTTTGGCTAAATTGGCTATTTAGCAGTTGTTTTTCTCCCTTTATTTAAGGTCACTAACTTATTATTTAAACTATTTAGCCCATTTTCTTACCTGACTATTTAAACCAAGCATATAAAGATCCCTGGATTGCTGACACAATAGCAAGTACCCCACCTGGAAATCACTACTGTATAATACAGGCAAACAAAATTTCCCAGAGATACACTATAGGCAGCATAAGTCTACACACACGCACACACATGCACAAACTCTGTATCAGATTATATCCACTTTTTGAATGCTGATTTCGGACTTAATTCCCAGATTGGACTCTTTCAGCCAGCTCCTTTCTTCCCTGACACAATAGCGTTGAAATATGAGCCAGGTTTTTCCCTGCCTCAGCTTTTCACAATTAATATGACAGGTTAGGTGCTACATTTTTTGTTGAGTTACAGAATTTTATTTTCTGGCCGGCCAGCTTATGGGCTCCGGTGCAAAGTTATTGCTCATAATAGCTAACAGTAGATTCGAAAGCTGTTTTGAGGTTTTCCACTGACCATAAGGAAAATGAAATAATGTGCTCACTGAGCTGTTTCAGGGGGTTTTCATCATCTAGCCGCGGATATAAAAATGACACACACACCCACGCTCAACCAGTCATACACACACACCAGCCTATGTGAGCAGGCGGGCACAAACAGAATCAATTACACCCTTACACACATGCTCACCCAGAGACCAACACAGGCCTACACTAACCTGCTGAGGGTCCAGTTTCTCCTTTGGATGATGACCCAGGTGCGTCAGCAACGGACAGTCCGTTTAATGACAGCACAGGACTCTTTAACTCCATGCTGACTGGCCTTCCTCCCTCTCTTTCTCCCCCTCCTTGTCCTTGTGTACCACCAACACCACCACTGCCCCCATACAGACTAATCCTCTGCTTGCGAAGCTCCTTCTCCCTCTTCTGGGCCTCCTGGATATCCTCCTTCACTTTCACTAAATTATTTGAAGAGCGCAGCTTGAAAAAGGGGTTCTCCTTGGGTACTAAATCCTCCACCTCCTCCTTTTCTTGTCTTTTTTCTGTTACTTTTTCATTCCCTCCTTTCTGTGACAATAAGATGTAAGGACTTCCAGAGTCGACAACAGTAATACCCTCTGATTTGTCTTGGTGTTTCTTCGGTGTTGTGTTCTTCAGGTTGTTCTCTAAGATTATGACTTGTCGACTTGTCCCCTGTGAGATACCCGGTCCTTGAAGAGTGTTTTTGGTTACACTCCGTCCTATGGGAGAGTTTGGGGTCTGTGTCGGGCTAAGAAGATCCAAACTGTGTCTCTTCTCGACACGTGTGTCTTCTGTGGTGGATACCTGTGATGAGATGTCTTCCTGCTTCTTGGGAGTTGAACCATTGCTGACAGAAGAAACTGATGGGGCCCTGCGACTGGTTGAGGCTGTAAAAGTTGAGTCACTGGGTGTCTGAAAGGTCTCATAGATCTGTTTCTTCTCCCTTATTTGTTGAACTGTGCCTTTATCATAAAAACCTGGAATTTTCCCAAGCTTGACCAGATCCTGCTCCCTCTGGGTCTCCGTTTGAATCTCATACAGCATCTTTTTGCCAGCAAACTCTCTATCTTTGTCCTGACACCACTCAGTCTTCACAGCTACTGAATTGGAAAGAACAGTTTTTCTTAAGGGAACCTCTACATACTCTGGAGTGATGCGTAGATTTGGAAGCCCTCTGGATCTTCTCAGGCTATGTTCCCGCTCTATAGCCCTTCGGATCTCCCTCTCAATGGGAGTCTCTCTGGATACAGTTGATGGAGAGCTCTCCAAAGTGTTGGACGGGGAGAAATCAGCTGATACGCCACTGTCACTCTGGCTATCGTCACATGAGTCATTCTCCATCCTGGTGTGGTTGCTGTGCTTCAGAGACACACCACAGCTATATTTTTCTATCTCCGGCTCTTGTATTTGGACTGTTTGTGAATATCTCAACAGTCCCCCGCTGTGTTGCTGCCCAGCTGGCTTGTTCCTTTTAAGTCCGCTCTCTTTCTGCCCTTCCTCCCCACCTGTTTGCTCATTTTCTCCCTCTGTTCTTTCCCCCGCCCTGCTGTGCCTTTCTCTCACAGCAACAACGCAAGCAAAGCCTGTAGCAGAAGCAGCCCCACCTGGATTGGACGGCTCCATGGCAACGGTCGACAAAGGTGGAGATCCCTGGCCAGGCACCTGTTGTCCTGCTTCCTGGTTTACACCTCTGAGGGCAGGTTCACGTTGGTTCTTTAACAACAGCCCCTCCTGGTGTTTATCTGAGGGTTTTGCATGCAAAGCTGAGTCTGTCTCTTGATTAGTGGAAGCTAAATATAAAGGTTGGAAAGACTTGCTGTTGATATTTAATGTGTTCAGTTCCATAATAGCAATGCCCACTTCCTCTTCTTCCTCACTTTCATCTGCAAAAGGAGGGGAACTCACAGTATGCGCGTCATCTGTAATGTTAATGCCAGAGCAAGAAGGGTGAGCAGGTCGTAACACATTATTTTCCACTATACCGGTACTTATTACATCTGTTACAGATGGTTTATATGTCTTCTGATCAGCTGGTTCAGTCATCTGAGATGCCTTTAACCATTCTCGACTACTCTGGCTTTCTAAAGAAGTAATGTCTTCTGTTGGGTCTGAAATGACATCAACATCACTGATACACTCTGCCACCTCACCCTCAGGGCTGGAAAAGCCCTCTTTGTCACGGTGTACTCCTGCTGATAAGGCACCCAAGGAAGGTGTAGGCGGGAAAACTTCCTCGCATAACTCAACTTCAGGTTCCTCTTGAGTCTTTAGTCCTCTCGATAGGTTTTTAGGAACTTGCTCTGATCCCATCACTGCTTCCTCTGTCTCCCTTATTCTCGCAGCTCCTTCATTTTCCATTTTAGTCGCATCAGCTGTTTTGATTTTTGAGATAGTCTCTTTCTCCCGCTGAGTATTGACCTGAGCATCAGGCTCCAGGGTGTCTATATCCTCCTCGGGTTCTGCCTTGGGTGCCTTTAAGCCTTTCAGAGGGAAGTTGTCACCCCTCGCCCAAGACTCATTGACCGACTCGTCAAGTAAGTTGACAGGGCACTGCTCCTGCCAGGCCGTGGGTCTTGTTGCCATGGTGACAGGTCTGCTGATGTAGAAGTGTTTGGAGCAGTCAGGTTGTTTGGCCTCCAGCCAGTCAGTCTGAATGAAAGCAAAAGAGCACAGATGGAGGAGAGGGGAATGGCAGAGTGATTGACATTGTTTAGCATTGTTTATTTTATACACTAATATTTTAGAGCATTTCAAATAACTCATTCATATTACTGCTGCAATGAATCATTGTCTGTTTTCACTATGCGAAACGCTGAGGGCTATACTGACATGTTTTCATTTGTATTTTCATAACTCTTTCTCATCTCTGTTGAAATACTACAGCGAACAGACAAGAAAGAACATTTTTAAATAATTGTTAAGAGGGAAAAAAACATGTTAGGACACTTGGCATTTGCATAGCAGGATTTGTTGTTTTTAAAAGATAATGTCAGCTTCTGTTTCCCTTTCAGCTATCAGAGGTTTTAAAAAATAATGGTATAACGGGTTTTTAAAAAATAAATATATGTTCATTATTATGCAAGTGGGAAACAAATGAAAGTAAAAATGGAATATACTTGAAGTGATGACATCTAAAAACAGGCCATACGAGTATGAAAATGAGGATGAATCAGACGACGCTGCAGTCCTCAGAACTCATTGCACTCATCTGTATGGACTCAAATTGTGGTCATAAATATTTTGTACTTGTAAATCAGTTTTGTACTTGTAAATCAGGATTTGTATGTGTAAAAAGAATTTGTGTGTGTAAAAAAGATTTGTGTGTGGACTTAGCCAAAAAACTATGTGAGAAAGTCTGCACTCAAGTTTCAAGTTACAAGTACGAATTTTGACTCTATTTTTCTTCCTTTCATCTGATTGGCCAATGTCATGTCAATCACAAATTTACCTATCTAATCAAAGAACAGATGGGTTTTGCTGTGGAGGGGTGCTTTTTTGAACTGTGGGTCCTTGAAGGGTGATACAGTTTGAAGCTGGAGGATCTCTATATAAATATCCGATAGAAGCTAGGTCCCCTAACTTTCAGCAGATGTTGAAAGGATAAAGTTGTGGTATATCAGTGGTTAGAAATACCATTATTACTTTAGGATTAGTTTAACACAATGTCAGGGCTGACCCGGGACCATTGCTGTGAGTCACAGTGCGCAGCATATACATGTAGGTCCTTTCACATCAGACGCAGCATGTGCTGCTAATGCTAACTGCTAACTAAAAGCCAAGGATCCAGAATTTGTTGTGCTGGCTGCTGAACTCTGTGGGTTTTTGCAGCAGCTCTACCTGTACTAGATGCACCTGCTCCTTGTCGTTTCTATCTCTGACTTTATGTCCTCCACAAGAGTTTCTGTTTTTTTGCTGGTTCTTCAAATGTTCAATAAAAACATGTATGCTAATTTATAACGAAGGAAAGCTTTGTAAGTATCCCCACTAGTGAAGACTGTCATTTCCACAACATTGCCCCCCGCGCACCGCCGGAGGTTCGCAGAGCTGTTGAAAAGGTTCAGGAGGTCCCTGTAGCACGTAAACCTGTGACACAAAAATCACAAAACTCAGACCACCACAGACTGTTTTCCTTTGTGGTGTTGAAGGAAAACGCTGGGTTGGCATGTAAAAGGGCATTTATTCCCTTCAAGGACCTGCAGTTCAAAAAAGCACCCCTCCGACAGCCAAACACATCTGTTCTCTGATTGGATAATTACATTTGTGATTGACATGACATTGGCCAATCAGATCAAAGGAAGAAAAATAGGGTCAAAATTCGTACTTGTAACTTGAAACTTGAGTGCAGACTTTCTCACAGATTTTTTGGCTAAGTCCACACACAAATCTTTTTTACACACACACAAATTCTTTTTACAGATACAAATCCTGATTGACAAGTACAAAATATTTATGACCACAATTTGAGCCCATACATCTGCTCTCAGATTTATAGTTTTGCACAACGAATAATAAATGAAGACCATCTTTATACAATTTACGTGCACTGGAAGTTTTTATTGTATGAATCCAGACATCTGAGCAAAGATCACTAAAACTGTTCTGGGGCGCATGGCGGACTAGTATCTCTTTTAATTTGTTACTGTCTTCTGTATATGCTTAAATAACTGTGTTGGATTAGAGCACTGCAAATCCAGTTAAAGTGTACTGCATTCCTTTTCTCTCTCTTTAACGGCAGCTTTAGTGAGCTTATGTTATTATATGACACGCAGGGTGTTTATAAAGCTGTGCCTGACTTTGGCTGTAAGGTGGCAACTACTGTGCTCCATGTGCAGAGCCTAACTAAAGTTTTCTGCTGAGCACACCTTTTCTTTAATCAGCTTACAGGCTGGGAAATGGCTCAGTAACACACACACACACACACACACACACACACACACACACACACACACACACACACACACACACACA